GTTCTCAGATGGTATCAGTCCGAGTGGTCGCATCTAACTGATTTTGGAGGGAGACAAAACAGGCTTCCCACATCTAGGTTAACTGTGGGTAACACAGGAGGAGAGTGCAGTCAGTCCTCATAGAGGGACAAGCCAAGCTCCCCCTGCTGAGGGGGCAGCTGCTGCTCCCGGGCAAGGGTCCTTGAGCAGCAGAGGAGGGACAGGATTGCTGGCTGTCTCATGCTCTCTCCCTCTTTGCTCTGTCCTGGGCGCCCTCCAGAGGGCCCAGCAAAACTCCTGCTGAGGGTGTCTACAGATGAGAACAAAAGTGCTTTGTCCATAGCTACTTTGCATCTATCCTCTCTCCGGCTCCAAGTGCGCTTTTGAAACCCAGTTACTGTAATCATGGTTTTCTTGTGCATTTGAGATTAGATCTACATTTAAAAATCTAGCTCGCAGGCAGAAGGTAAAATTGCAAATAAGTGTTTGGCCGAAGAAGTCTTTGTTGAAACAGCGGGAAATACGTCAAAACAAAAAGTCTTCTGACAATTGCAACATGGAAAGCAGACCTTTCAGCGGGGACTGGATACATGAGGGCCTGAGCCCTCTCTTACCTCTGTTCCCTGCAGGGGCCGGCATGGTTCTTTGCACAAAATAGGCCCCAGTAAGGCTCCATTCAGCTCTCCTCCAGAGCTGGTCTGCTCTCCAGTACCTAGGAATTCTCTCCCCTGGGTGCGTTCCTTCCTGGCTGCACCTTGAGGGGTTGGCCCTGGACCCGTGGCATCAGGCAATCTTTACTCCCAATCCCACTGCAGACCTACACAAAAAAAATCCCCCCAGGCCCTTCAGAAAACACTGGTGTTTTGTTCAGGGCAAATGAAGCTCAGAGACAGAGATTCTTTGCCAATCATTTATTTGACACAGGCTCATTATGGGAATTAAAATTCATCATAGTAATATTTCACAAGTCAATAGCCTACAAGGTAATGCCTCTTAATAAACCAATATAGAAATAACATACTCCAAACCAATGACAGATTAATTACACTTTTGTTCCAGGCAAAGGGAAGGTGAGAGAAATAAAATCCAAATTTTGTCCAGGTGGCGCTTCTGCAGGTTGGTTCTCAGTGGAGTAGTCAGTACTTCCAACTAAAAGCTGGTTAGCAGCTGCCAGGTCAGGTCTCTCACTGCTGGGGCCTGGAGCTGGCAGGTGATGGCGCCGTCATTGGAAGGCAAGGTGGGCTGCTCCGAAGTCTACTAGTCCAGCGACTGTCCCACGGTTTGTACCACTGGCTACAAGGACCTTGGCTCGCCAAGGCAGGAATAGATGTCCCCTCGCTTCCCAAGATTGTCACCACTACCAACCGAGAATATCCTGGCCACAGTAGAGGCAAGTGTCTCAAGATCCTTGGAGAGCTCTTAGATCAGCAAAGAGTAGTCTTATCTAAACGGTCCTGCTCAAATGGCTGGTAAAACCTTTTGAGAACGCCACTGCCATTACTGTGGTGTCAGTCACGTTAACCGTCCTTTCCACTCCAGGAGCTGAGAGTTCGAGACCAAAGTCCCAGTATCTGATTTCAAAACTGTTTCATCAAAACAAGTTCACTTGAAACGAGTTCAGACCACAAACAACGTTGTCCATGAGGAGCTTTCAAAACATAGATTTGAAATCACATGACCCCTGACTTTCATGCTGACGCAGGCTACTGACGTTTGCTATCAATAAAAGATTGATTGGCTTCAGTCTGTCTGATAAATGGGCACGCATGAGGGGGAATCACAGGGCCGACAGTGATCCACGTCATGGATTTCAAGACCGACTGCAGTGCTTGGCACCATGGCGGACAGCTGGTGGAAACTTCCCTCTGGAGGTATGAACAGGCTGGCTGACCTCAGATGGTAGCTGTCTGTCTAAGCCTGGGCAAATCCCCCACGAGGGCCAGACTGGTAGGCAGTTTTCATTACCATTTCCAGTTCTTTTACAGACCTCAAGGCAAGCACAAGGTAGGGAGTAGTAATTAGAAGACATGGCTCCAGCTTGTGCCATGGGATGACCAGCAAGTTTATCCATAGAACACCCTATCCAACAAGGGGCTTAGACACGATCTCAGGACCTGAGCTAGAAAGATCTGGTCTGTCCTCCATGAAGCATTCCAATGTCCAAACATAATCTGATGCCTTGGTGCTTGAAGCAGGAATTATCAAGAAATCAGAAAGAGGTTTCAGGATGTGATCATTCTGTCCCAGCTACATTGAAGCCTGACAGCCCCCCTGGTTGTCTTCTCAGGAAGCAAATGATGGATTCCCTCAGGACCAACTCATGGCCTCCTTCTTCTCAGGAGCTGACTGTGTCTGGGGGCCCATCCCCAGCCTGCAGCTCTTGGCTTCCTAGGCTAACAGCTCTGCAGGTGCCCTGTGCACAGATCCCAGCCCCAAACGTTTTCTCGTTCCCCCTACAGTCCCTGATCATCTTTCGGCAAACATCCCAGATCTTTCCACGAGAGCTCCAATTTATTTAAAAGGCATGCTTTATCTCCCAGTGGAGTTTGTCAACTAAATAACTCATATTGACTGTTTCAGCTTTTCATGAAAATCATCAAAGGTTCTACACCTGGGCCCAGGGACAGGTCTGGGTGTTGTTGGACCTGATGTGGGATAATATACGAGCAGGCACAAGGCCAGGGGAGCACCTTGGCAAGTGAGGGGCCCTGAGGCTGAAGCTTCATTACGTTGGTGGTGAAGGCACCTCTGCCCTTATTTGGAGAACTGAATCCCAGCGGGAGCTCAGGGCTCTCTCTGCAGCAAGACCGCCCATCACCCATGATGGTCTATCACGGGCTGACAGCACAATATGTGCAAGAAAATGGGGACTAGAGGCAGAGAAGCCTGACTTCCATGACCAGCTCTGTCTCTCTCTCTCTCTCTCTTTTTTTAATTTGACAGACAGAGATCACAAGTAGGCAGAGAAGCCCGCAGAGAGAGAGGTGGAAGCAGACTCCCTACTGAGCCAAGAGCCCGATGCGGGGCTCGATCCCAGAACCCTGGGATCATGACCTGAGCTGGCGCCCCCAGCTCTTTTTACCTGCTCTGTGATTTGAAGCATAAAGTGATCGAACCTCACCATGCTTCAGTTCCTCCTCTGAAGAAAACCCAGAGGCAACGGCCCATCTTTCACGTGGGTGCTGTGAAGATCCCAAGGATGGCCTTAGGTCACACACGAAAAAGTGCGTCACACGGTTAACTCGGAGAATGACTGACTCCAACTCTCATCGAACAGTTTTCATTACAACTGGTCTACGGGATCGAAATTTACCTTATACAAGGAAATTTAGTTATTTTATATTGATTTTAATTATATTTAATTTTATTATTTTTTAGGGAGAAAGAGTGCACAGCAACCAGGGTGGGGGGATCAGAAGGAGAAAGAGAGAATCTTAACCAGGCTCCATGCTACATGCAGAGCCTGACGCAGGGGCTCCATTTTAACAACCCCTGAGATCAGGACCTGGGCTGAAAACAACTGACCTGACGTTTGAGCGACTGAGCCACCCAGGCGTCCCCAAGGCAAGTTAGTTATTAACTTGACAAACAACAGACACAGAAGAGGCAAGCATATATTCAAAGATAGTATAAATAGATAAAAACAAGATGTAAAACAGAACCACACTTAGCCTGAACCAACGGCTGACAAATTCTTTTTCTGTCCTCCTGCATTGAAGGGACACAGCATAATCCGAATGACAATGGCTAATGCCTCGGCAACAGAAGAAGGGCTTATAAACAATTTGCAAACCTCTCAGGTGTTCTTTTTTTTTTTTTTTTAAGATTTTATTTATTTGATAGAAATAGGCAGAGAGGCAGGCAGAGAGAGAGGAAGGGAAGCAGGAAGCCCAATTCGGGGCTCGATCCCAGGACCCTGAGATCATGACCTGAACCGAAGGCAGAGGCTTTAACCCACTGAATGTTCTTTCCTTCCTCATGATACACATTCTCCTCCAACCTATATCCCAACCCCCATAACCCACTCCCCGTCCCAGTGGAGAATCACACTCATTCCGAGAATGAAGGCAAAATATGGAGTTTATTCAGTTGATCTGACCAATTACGTTGGATATAAGTGTTGGTTTCATTGGCCTGGTGTAAAAACATACTTTAAGTGGGGATACTCGCATATTCACAACGTTAAAAATATAGGTATAGGTAAGAAAGATTCATGGAGGCATTTGATATAAAACATACACAGTATGCTATTTCAATACACAAATGCTTGGAAGGAAGTAGAGTCAGAAGAGTTACAAAAGTAGCATCATTGAGAATTTAGAAATGTTTCCATTTTTCTTACAGGTCACATTCTCATCCTTCGGGATGTACAGAAATTATGTGGTTTACACAGTTTTATCCACATTCAAAACATCATGTTTTAAATGGTTTAAGCATAGCATATACAGTACAAAATGTTTCCATAGGAACATAACAGAACCTGTCACTAGTGGCCCGCGGTCAGACGGCCCCTAAATGAACAGCCATTTTTAAGACACGAGTCCAGCTTATTGCTTTAATATTCAAGTTGTTCTACTCACCCAAAATATAAGGACTTTAATTTACACTAGAATCTACCTACAAAGGCTCAAGGCGTTATCATATAATATACACCAATATACACAACTATTCTGAGTTAAATGAAGTTCCCAGACTTAAATCAGAACCAAGAACAGTAATTTCAGGCTAAGACATTATCCTCGTGATCTGTAATCTTGACATTTTCTGAGCAAAGTGCGCAGTGAATGGAATCAGCAACCAGAAATGATCCTTCTATGAACTCACAACTTCCTTTGAGTCGGTCACACCACCTGAGACATGAGAACCTTTAGACCTGGGGGCTACTAAGGCAGCTTCCCGAATCAAACCCAGGGGAGCCATGTGGGGTCACATTCATGGATCGCAGGAGCCCACGCCGCCCGCTAATAGGTGGCACGATTCAGTATACAGAGCCCCGGGTTCGAGTCCGCATAACTAGCTTCCAGGAGGAGCCCAATGCTGAGTCTTAATTACTCAGAGCAAATGATGCCATCAATCAGCCATATTCTAGGGTTGGTGGACCCCGCACAAGGTTGAAATAGCCAGCCAGGGCACCCAGGTCTATGTAAAGAGAACGCTGCCTCCTCAGCATCTCCGATTCCTCAGTACTTCCTGTGCATGAAGAATCTGGAAAGGGAAACATTGGAAAAAAAAAAAACAATGAATGACCAGGTAACATGCTCAGTAATAAACACCTGTTTCTTCTGGGGGAAAAAACAACAACAACCTTGGCCCTAATCAAACAGCCTTTCAAGCTATATATATTTTTTTAAGATTTTATTTATTTGACAGAGAGAGATCACAAGTAGGCAGAGAGGCAGGCAGAAAGAGAGGGGGAAGCAGGCTCCCCACCGAGCAGAGAGCCTGACGTGGGGCTCGATCCCAGGACCCGGAGATCATGACCTGAGCTGAAGGCAGAGGCTTAACCCACTGAGCCACCCAGGAGCCCCTCAAGCTATGGTTTTATTAAAAACCTGCAGACTTAGAGTTACAGACTGCGGGCTAGTTTATGTAATCTGACATAGATGAAAGGGTTCGAAAAAGGTCAATGATGACAAGAAATTAGCTAGAAATTCTGGTGTATTTTCCAACACCCCAGATGGTTCTCTTCAAATACAGAAATGTCAGACAAGAAGAGGATGAAATGCAAATAAATATTCCAGGCTTGACATCTGGGTTTGGACCTAAATGGATTAAGAATGCCACAGATTGGGGCACTGACTTTCCTATGTGGGAAAGATTCATAGCTGAAAAAGAGAATTGAAGCAGAGGAAGACAAAAATGCAAGTTGACTTCAAACTCAGTATTTTATCTGTGCAGAGCAGCGCCCTGGTGTCTCCAAACAACGACTGGCATGGCTTACCGTAATTGAATGAAATGGAACCCTGTTCAGAACTGACAAGAACTGACTGCCAGGCCTGACTTGTTTTTAAAGGCAAAAGATACTCCCTGGTGCAGAAAGCAAGCAAGAGGCAATTTTTAAGGACGGTTGTTACCTACGTTTGCCCTGAAACATGTTGTGATTTGCTGGCCAATTAGCCAGTCTTTTTTTTTTTTTTTTTTTTAATGCTTTTGCCAAAGTTCTTGCTGAAATTTCTCCAAAAACTTATGGCCCTCAAGAACGCCTTTGGGAAAGGTGTCAGAAGGATGAGGTAGTTGGAAAAAGAAGAGAAGCAAGGGGCACTGCCCACAGCAGGTGTCCATACCCGCTATGTTCTCCGGAAGCTCCAGCTCCTTTCTACTCAGCAGCCTCTTCCGCTCAAAGAGGGCAGAGTCCAGACTCTGACAGCGTGGCTGATCCTCTCTGGGGGGGTTCAGGGCATCATGTTTGAGCAGGTCGGCTGCACTCGGACGGTGATTCGGGTTCCTCTCCAAGGCAGCCTCTATCAGCAACCTCATGCCAGGACTGCAGTCGTCTGCGATATCTTCCAACGGAGGCGCCTGTTTGTGGATCTAGCAACACACCAGCTCTCTTAGCACCAAGCGTACGGAAATACACCCTCACCGGTTCACGCGTTCTAGTGAACAAGACCTGGAAAGTCATTTGTTTCCCACTACACACCCTGCAGTGGAAACAGTCATACCTGCCCACAAGTTTCCCTTTAATTTTATAAGCACCTCGAGCGAAACCCATCCTTTGGGTTAATGATGTTCAAGGGTCAGGGCGCTGTAATGGGGAAGGATCCACCCTTTGATCCCTCGATGGTAAAATGGAAACTGCACGTTTCATTATGTCTAGTCTGGCTTGGGGATCTATAATCTCGTATCTCCTCTCCAGAAGTGCTGAAAAAACATAGCTTCTCTGGCTCAGAGACTGATGCCACTCAGATGCTCCTAAGTGGTATCTTATGAGTCATGAATAACAGAAGAGCATATAATCTTGGCCCCATGCACGTTTCAGCTAATTCCGACTGCAACAGCAATGCCTTCCTTGCAGGAATGGGACTTGCCTCCCCATGGGGAGAACTTTCAGCTTCACCCCACGAGTCACGAGTTCACACCATCCCACTCAGGTGTGTTACAAAAGGGACAGCAGCCCTCCTAAGCAGGGGAAGCTCCCCCGCACCCTCAGCCCTGGCTGCCCCCCACTTACTATGTACAGGTAGGAGGGATAGGCTGAGCGAGGGTAGCGCTTCACCCAAGGCGGGGTGCCCGTCTGCATATGGATGAGTGTGGCTCCCAGGCTGTAGATGTCCGCTTTGGTTGAATGACCTCTGCACAGGATCACCTCTGGGCTCATGTAAATCTAAAAAAGAAGAAGAAACCGTCAGTCTGACTCTCCCCCGTCTGTCTGGGTATCCATTTCCCTCATCCAGTTCTGGAAGCTGGCACACCCGCCTTTACCGTATTTATAGGATGTTTCAGCCCCTCAGGAGACCATGTCCCTGCTGTTCTCCCGGAAGCTAGGGAAAGGGACACAGACACCCTTGGGGAAGGTGGGAGGCACTGTCGCCCGAGGCGTCCCTGCAGCCTCAAGAAGAACACCATTTCTCCACATACTGGACACAGAGACCGCCCCAGCAGCCAAGAGCCTGCAGCCGAGAACCCACCTGGGAACCCCCAACGTGTGCATCAAGGTTCTGGAAGGCACCGACTGAGGCTTAACTTCCTTATTAAAACATCAGTTCTAGGTGCCTGGGTGGCTCAGTCAGTTAAGTGTCAGCCTTCAGCTCAGGTCATGATCCCAGGGTCCCGGGATCGAGTCCCACATGGGGCTCCCTGCTTACTGGGGAGCCTGCCTCTCCCTCTGACCCTCCCTCCCACTCACGCGCACATGAGCCCGCACACTCTCACAAAAATAAATAAAAATCTTTTAAAAAATACCAATTCCTTTTAATATTTAAATGGACACTACAAATACACTTCTTCACTTCAGGTTTGTCATTAAATTGCCAAATCCCTAACTACCTGCAGTGATATAAGGTGGCAGAGATCCCCGGGGTAGTAACACCGATCACACGGAAGAGAAGCACTTAGAGTGGAATGTTTTAGAAATGGTCCTAATTGGTCATTTATACAAACTACTTCTTATTTCTACCTCCCACATGGCCTAACTATTGAACACATGCCATTTTAACCACGTGTAGGTTCTGTTTGGTTTCATGCTGGAGAAGCAGGGCAAGTTTCAGAAATAGCTTCTCTTTTATGCTTGTAAAACATAAACAAAAAAACATAAAAACATTAAAAAAAAAAGTAAACAAATGCCAACCAATGATCTGTATTTATGGCTGGTATGGAGACGTACAGTAAATGGTTAAAATCCTAATTATCAATATTTAACATTAAGAAATGTATATGCTGTCCATCATTTGACTATGGAGAAAGGGATAAGTGTTCCTGGAATATATTTCCGAGTCAATACGTGAAAAAAACTGGCTTACAAAAACTGGGAAAATGTCCCAGTTTCCCCACCCTAACCATATTCAACAGTGTCCTCCAACACCCTTGCTGGCTGGCTTGCTTTCGTTCCCGTGCTCATTCTGTCTGTCTCACTGAACAGGCTCCGCCGAGCTCCTTGTTCTCAAACATTTCCTGAAGTGAACACAGAGCATTGGGTCCCAACTGACGGACCTGACGTTCCTACTAAATATAATCACAAAGTTAAACAACAAACGCATGGGGAAGGATTAGCTGTCAATAGAGGAAGTTTATCTCCTCCCCGCTTGCTTGCCTCCTAAGTAAATATCAGGCAAAGTATTTACGGTTGGTGTAACCCGCTCTGCGCACAGCGTTCTGGAGGATTCTGGGGACCATTCATTTGGGGATGCAGTGTCCTGCATCCCTGGGGACCCCAGGCAGGTCCCCCAGCACTCCAGGGCTCGGAACCCTGGCTTCTGCAGGCTCTACACGAGCCAGAGCAGCGGGCATGGCGTTCGAGAACTTTTGGGGTTGGCTGACCGCAAGCATGAAAAAGGCCCAGTAGGAACCACGCGAGGCTCTCTGGGACCTGCACAGCCTCGGGCCCAGGCACCAGAGCAGGGGAAACTATACATCCGTCTGGGGGGGGGGGGTCCAAGCACTTCACCTCTCAACACATTTGTTAGAAAGGTGTTGCGTGTGTGCAAACACGCATGCATGGATTACATGTTAACTTGTATCAAGGAAGCTCAAACAGAGACTCAGAAGAAAATAAGAACTTTTAAAAAAGAACCACGCTATAAAAATAATTCTAGGGGCATCTGAGTGGCTCAGTCGGTTCAGCATCTGACTTTTGATTTCAGCTCAGGTCATGATCTGAGGGTGGTGAGATTGAGCCCCACATCAGGCTCCACAGTGGGGGGGGAGCCTGCTGAAGATTCTCTTTTTCCCTCTCCCTCTGCCCCTCTACCCCACTCCATCTAGCTTAAAAAAAAAAAAATCTATTCTAATTAGCTATTTACATTCATTATTTATTCTTTCTCTGTATGATGTAATTAAAAAATGATACATTAAATATAAACCAGATTAACCCTGTGCTTATATTGTATGGTCATAATCTCAAGTTCTGAATATGAATGCCGGGAGAGAGATCACACAGAGGGAACCAGAGTTCGCACTTGGAATCAGACGTCACATATACCCCTGTAGCGGCCAAGTGATCAAGTTCCAGTGGGAAGTAAATCTCAGTGGTTGACTTTGACTAACAGCATCTCACTGGCTCTTTGAACAGGAAGAGTTGAAACAAACTTGCTGAAAGCTTTCAATGGTGATTTCACAACCTTGCTCATTAGCAAACTTGGACTTGGGAGCACCATACAGACAGTAAATGCAGGCTGATTCGAAGAGAATTTGTCAACCTTAACATTCAAGTCAGTTTAGCACTTTGTAAAAAGCAATTTACATTTGCTGAGAATAACTCAGTCCAAATACTATTTAGGAATAAACACTATGTTATCATCTCATGCTCAAGCACACACTCTCTTTCTGGTAGACAGTCCTAGGGAGGGCATTTCTTGGTCCAGCCGTTGCAAAATGTTCGATTTGATCACACTGCCGGGAAGAGAAAGGTATTTTCTCTCTTTAATACCATAAATAGTTTGTTTCTCAAACTGGCTCCAGGAAAAAGGGTAGAATGTCACATATCTGAACTTCGGACTAATGCCAAAATATGCTGAAACATTTTCCAAAAAAAACATGTCTGAAGCATTAAGTCTTATTAGATTTTGTGCTTCAGTGAAGCAGTCTTAAGATCTGGGGACTAAAACATTCTTTTTAAGAAGTCTACAGTTCTCTCTTCTAGAAATCATTCTCCTCAAAAACTATCAAGGGTCCTCCCTCAAGCCTTTTCCAGAATAACTTTAGTAATACCAGCAATTTCTTCCGCTGCCCAGAAGAGCTTGAGAGAGTTAAGAAAAAGCTGATATAAACTTGGTTTCCAACGATGATTATTTGTTTTTCTTCTGAAGTCGGGTTCAGTGCAATATACCTACGAGCTAGACTAAGGGCTTGGTTGAACACAAAGACTGACCTGATAATCTTTTCTTTTTTTTTTTAATTTTATTTATTTAACTGAGGGAGGGAGAGTATAAGCAGGGGGAAGGGCAGAGGGACAAGCAGACCCATCACTGAGCACAGAGCCCAACTTGGGACTTGATCCCAGGACCCTGGGATCATGACCTAAGCCGAAGTCAGACGCTTAACGGACTGAGCCATGCAGGTGCCCCCTGACCTGGTAATCTTAAGGCAAAGGCTCAGTCAAGTGCCCTCTCTCCATCTGCTGTGGGCACTTAGAGCAGAGAGAGGGCATGGGGCTGGCAGGCTCTGATAATTAAGCATGGGCCAAGGAGGCAGTTTCCACCCCTATTTGCCTTCCCAGTTGCATCCAACCCCATGCCCATCATAATCTACTATGAACTTAACTGTTGCTTTTTTAATAATTGAGGTAAATTTAAAATAGGTCCTCTCGCCAAAGAGCAGGGGTTGCTAACATACCACCAAGGGCAGTGCTCACTCCATGCCTGACAGATAGTGATGCTTGACTGATGTTTCTACATGAATCCACCATTCAGCCCAATCAGGTGTATGTGAAATTAAATGTATTATTTGAAAGCCCATGAATGCATTCCTTGCAATCTCATTTATATTCAGAGAAGTTTTTGGTTTGGTTTTGTTTTTGCTTCACAAATGAATTAAATATTAGAGCTAGTTTATATCTTTAAATATAATTTATTTGTGCCATAATAAATTTGAGGTTTATTATAGGCTCTCTATAATTAAAGATAAGCCTAAAAGGTTGTTAATCCTAAACATATATTATGAACAACTATGACAATTATGACTAATTGAACTGAAACATATTCTTATGTTATATTAAGAATGTAACATAAGAACTATGTTATATTATATACACATATAATATGTAAAGATATATAAGAATATATATAACATACATTTATACTAAGAATATATACATTAGTTATATTAAAAAGTTACATAGTAGTTAGAGTTCAGATTCCAAAGAAAATTGGTTTAAGTCCCAGATCTGGCACTAGCTGAATAACTTTGGGCACTTTATTTGAACTTCTTCAAGCTTATTTCCTTACTGTAAATAATAGAATTTGCCTACGATAACAGTATTTACTGATAATAGGGTTGTAACAAGGATTAAATAATATAATGCATTTAAAATGCTAAAATTAGTACCTGGCATAGAGCAAGTGCTCATTAAATACGTTTCAATGATAATAACATTTGATGCAATGGTTTTCCTCCCCTTTATTGTCCTTTCTGCAATAATACCAGAACATTTTTAAATTTTTAAATTTTACTCTTAAAGAGACAATGACCTTTCCTGTGGGAATAGAATTACCTCTGTTCCGCGAAGGTCCTTAGGAAAGTAGACATCTTCAGTCATTTGAACACTTAGGCCAAAATCCACCAAAACAGCTTTTGTAGACATGAAGACAATGTTGCTAGCTATAAAAAGGGGACATCTCTTTAGGATAAAATTGTCTGTATACCCATAAATAAAATAAAAACATCATCTAAAATGATAAGCCCCAAACCAGAATAGATTGAAATGTGCTCCCTACTGAGATGACTACATTATATCAAGAGGAGGGTTAATCCGGGTGAGAATTCAAGTGAAAAGCACTTCAGATGTGCCAAGAATGCAGCCAATGTGGGTGTAAATGTTTGCATGCAATAATAACGCTCGAGAGACAATGGCCAAGTCATGGAAGCAACCTAAGGGTCCACAACGGACGACTGGAGAAAAAAATATGATGTCTGTGTGTATATGCATATACAAGAGACTATTATTCAGCCATAAAAAAGGATGGAGTTCTGCCTTTTGCAACAACATGGATGAAACCTTGAAGATCTAAGTGAAATCACTGAGATAAGTCAGGCAGAGAAAGAGGAATACTTTGTGTACTCTAAAACAACAAAACTCATAGAAATAGAGAACAGATCATGGTTACCAGGGGCTGGGGGGTGGAGGGCGTGGGGGAATGCAGTCATGGCGTAGAAACTGCCAGTGATAAGATGAACGAGTTTGGGGGGATAGAATACACAGCACAGTGACTATAGTTAATAATGTTGTATTATACATCTTAAAGTAGCTGAGAAAGTAGATTTGAGAAGTTCTCCCCATACACACACAATTATAACTATGTGAAGTGATGGATGCGTTATCTAACCTGGTTAGAGCAATCATTTTGCAATATATACCTACAGCAAATCATTACATTGCACACCTTAAACTTACACAAGGTTAAGCCAGTTATAGCTCAACAAAGCTGGAAAAAATATTATCATGCTCGCAAGCTGGACTTTCAAATTCTAAAGTCAAAGCCTATTATTATCGTGCCACTTTCCTGAAATAAAAAAAGTAAAATACCCATTTTTTTTAAAATAAAGGTTTTGTCAGTTCAGTGTAGCATTGGCTATGAAGGGGTTGGTCGTGGGTCTTTGCTGTGTTTCCCACCATCTCTTACTCCTAAAAAGCAGTCAATGAAAGCTTGTTTAATGAATTACTACCAAAATGGTATTCAGAATAAAAAGGCTATTTGTTTCTCAAAAACTATGTAACTCTGAGTGTGTTTTAAAGTATATTTATTAAAGACTTAAGAAAAAGGGCATAGCCAGTACTTAACAGATGTGTGGCTATAATCTTCCACAATTGGATAATCACCCTTCCTCAGGACTTTGAAAGCTTTTGTGATCCCATTTGGTGCTGAAACATGTTTCAGTAGCACAGGGGAGGAAGGTAGAAAGGGTTTGAGGGCAGCTGTCCTCCCCAGCACCAAGGATCCTCAGACTGAAGAGAGGAACCCATCTGCCTCTTGCCTAGCCCATCTCTAAGCCAAGAAGCTTACACATCCAAAGGTAACTCACGTTTAATGTCATGATGAATCACTTTCTTTGAGTGTAGAAAATCGAGTCCCTTAAGAACATGCTTTGTGACCCAAATAATTTCAAATTCCCTCATTGGTCCACAGCTCTCCAGTTTCTCAAGAACAGAACCTCCCTCGCCGGCTTCCATAAAGAGGTGCACGGTTTCACCCCAGAGCACAGCACCATATAACTCAGCAATGTTCTCATGCCGGAAGCAGGCCTGGATTTCCACATCAGACGGCTTAAATTGATCTACTGGAATCTAGAACACAAACATACCAGTAAGATTCTAGACAAAAATATATACGAGATAGGTCAACTCACAAATCAAAGGGCAAATAAATGCCTTTGAGGATATCGTGATCTGCATGAAATTATGTTGCCAAGTTAAAATCTGGCCCAAACCCCCTTTTACATGGTGTCAGCTTTAGGTAAATGGTTCCAAATAAGAAAATAAGAACAAAATATAAAATATTATTATCATTTAGAATGAAGCAATCCAATCAAGGAATCATTTACAATTGAATCAAAAGAGAGATCATTTCCCATCTTTTTTACGTGTATTTTCTATGGCACCTAGATTTTAGGTTGTCTTTTCAATACTTCCATTTGTTGTGAAATAATATTATGTCTTTGGACCCCAGCTCATGCTCTGACAATGCATTTAAAATCTATTCTAAGGAAAATAAAAAATCAATAATAAAGAAAGAAGTAGATCTTTCAGTGCAGATAGATATGAAATGTCTCCAAAATAAGATATCGGATAAAGAAAGCAAGATACGGAAGTACAGGTATTATGCTCCCATTTGTAAAAATCTCTTAATCTATACATAATACATGTCCATAGAAATTTTTTGGAAAGATGTATAAGATCTCATTCACAGTAGTTGCCTCAAAGAAAGGGATCTCATTCTTCAAACTACATTCTTTTGAATCTGCTAGGGGGGTTGTTAATCATTTTACATGGTTTTCTTTTCAAGAAAAAAAAATACAGCTTAAAAATTAAATGTAAGTATTCTAGGGAAAACAAACCCACAAAAGTATTTTTCCATGCCTTTTGTGATGAAATTGTAAAACAGGACATTTCTGTTCTAAGATCTTTCTAGAATGTCACTAGATTCTTTTAAAAGAATTGGAACATGTCTCTCTAAATGAAAGCTTCAAATGGCTTATTATAATATCTCCTTGTTTTCTTTTGATAACAGATACTCTGTTATCAGAGTATCCTTTATTTATAAAGGAACAAATGAGGCCAATACATTGTTGCTCTTTTTTTTAATTCCAATAACATAGACTAAGGCCATATTCAGCAAATCCAAAGGGGGTTTATTTTCTTGTACTCTTAAAAAATCTTTACAGTGAAACAGACATGCTAAAAAGCGTAAAACTGGTTACATAGCAAACTCAATGAATTTTCAACTGAACATACCCACGTCACCACCGTCTAGATCAAGAAACAAAACTCTACCGGCCCCCCAGAAACCCCTTCCTGACCTCTGCCAGTCACTGCCCAGCAAGGGCACCTCCTGTCCTGACTTCCACCAGCACGGATTCGTTTTGCCTCTCGAGGGCCTGTACAGAAGTGGAATCTCATAGAGTAGATCTTGCTTGGGATCTGGCTGTTGGGGCTTAACATATGGTGATGAGATTCATCTCCATTATTACAACGGTAAACCATTTTTTCTCTTCACTGTATAGTATCCCACTATGTAAGTATATCACACTGTAACACCTGGAGAATTTCCAGTTTGGGACGATGACAAAGACTGCTATGATGAACAGTCTAGTACATAGCCTTTGGTGAGCATGCATGCGCGCTTCTTGGGGGTGTGCCCACAGGAGTGGAACTTCTGAGTCACAGGGTGTGTATGTGTCCAGCTTGGACAGTCTTGCAAAGCAGGGACGTCTCAGCAATAAAAAGAGATGGGGTCTTTGCAATAATTGGTCTATTTACATGCAATCCTTTCATCTACAGTCTTGCAAAGGCTGCAGCTTTCCCAGTTTCGGTTTCTCTGCCTGGCTCCCTCCCCCATGGGTGGGATTAACAGAGGTGCACACAGATCTGCTCCTGCAGGAAGAGCGCCCCTCCTTCCCACCCTTCCCCAAGAGGGATGATGTTATCCAAGCTCCTGCTAAAGAAGCCAGCAACATTTTCTTTTTTATCAAGGCAAACTTGATTAAAACCAACTACGCACTTAAACAGACTTCGGTGCTGAGCAGCCCCAAGGAGCAAGCAAATCAACAAAGAAAAAAGAAGAAAGATGTTTTTGGACAGGGTGCTCTTTCTTACATAAGATCCAGCCAAATGGTAACCACCTTTGAGTAAAGCAAGCCAACAAGGGCCACCATGCCAAACATATACGTGCAGGATGTCTGGTATAAAGTACGTACCAATTTACACGCCATTCTTTTCTTAGTCTTTATATCTTGGGCTAAGTACACTTTACCAAAGGCCCCCCGAGGTATGAAATCAGAGCCAATATTCCGATAAGTCAGCTTCCAGGGGATAAGGAGAACATCAGAGTCTATCTGATAGCGTCCATTCTGGGGAGTGATTACCTACAACAAAACAAACAAACAGGAGGGTGAGAATTTCAGCAAACTTCTCTTTTAAGACCCGCCCTCCAGAAACTGGTTACTTTAGATCATAAAGACACACCTTCAGAGACTGGTTACTTTAGATCACATTCCTCCTGGCCCTGCTTGAAATTAATGTCACTGTTGTGTAATCCTAACAGTGTAGAGACTATATTTAGAGTTTCAGCAAGCCAGAGAAAGCATGTAACAGAAACACGTCCCTGGTCAGACCTGATCGTTCCACCTCCCGGTGAGTAATTAATTGTCAAAATTTTAAAAATTATTTATCAAAGGGAGCGTGACTACCGTGACCAAAAGGCTGAACATAAAGATTGCATAAATATAAACTGTGAGGGCAAGTTGACTTGTCTCCAATTAAAATGTGCTAACCTGTTAGTCTGCATAGCTATTACTCACACATGACACATAGAGAGAGAGAGAGCGAGCGTGGAAATAAACTGATGATCGTAGAGGATTCTGGAAAATAAGGTGTTATGCCAGAGCCATGAGTACTACATCAATACAGTAAGTGGCAGAATTATTTCACATCTACTTGCTCACTTGGTATTTTCCGAGCGCAAAAAGCACCAGGCACTGTGTCTAGAGGGCAGCTCTGAACAAGAGAGAGGTAACCTTTCACCTCCGAGAGCTCCCAAACAGGCCAGCACTTGGAACAAGAGGTTTCAAAAACAAGTTGACTCAAAAATTAAAAGACGTATATCCCGGAAGCAGTGTTGCTGCTTTTGTTCAAACTCAACAAACCGGACATTTAAGGTCTGTGTATTTTACTGCATGTGAAGTAGACCTCAATTTTAAAAGAGTAAAAAAAAAAAAAAAAAAAATTACAAGGACGGGTAATTATAATAATAAATATGAAAATAAATTAATAAGATATGTTATTATGAGTTATAACCTGCAGCACGTGCCTAAAACATGTTTAAAATGTTCTCTCGAGGGGAACTGAGATTCAAAAACACAAGGTTTTCCCCCATGTAATTAGCAATATTATGACTTCAGATTATGAATTCAGGAACCGTGAAACTATGCAAGTGACACTAAAGCTATTTCAAGCGCAGAAGAGGCAGAAGGGGAACGCAGACCACATGGAACAAGAATGAACACCCGATTCCTCCGCTGAGGGGCCCGCACACGGCCCCCACTGCCGCCGGGATAGTTGTCATCGTCCCAGGGTTATTCATTCGGGCTCCGGGACTGCTCATCTGAGCTGTCCCCTGCAAAGAGATGCACGTGCTCTTAGTCAGGGAACAAGCAGGGGACAACTCCAGCCCTTGGAGACGTGAAGTCACTGCATTTATTTATTTATTTTTTTAAAGATTTTATTTTTATTTATTTGGCAGACAGAGATCACAAGTAGGCAGAAAGGCAAGCAGAGAGAGAGGAGGAAGCAGGCTCCCCGCTGAGCAGAGAGCCCCAGGCGGGACTTGATCCCAGGACCCTGGGATCATGACCTGAGCCGAAGGCAGAGGTTTAACCCACTGAGCCACCCAGATGCCCCATAAGATTTTATTTATTTATTTGACAGATAGAGACCAGAAGTGGGCAGAGAGGCAGGCAGGGAGAGAGAGAGGGGGAAGCAGGCTCTTGTGAGAAGAGAGCCTGATGCAGGGCTCGATCCCAGGACCCTGAGATCATGACCTGAGCCAAAGGCAGAGGCTTTAACCCACTGAGCCACCCAGGCGCCCCAGTCACTGCATTTAAAATGAAGTATTTACTGAGCACTCCGCTGGGCCAGCTCCCGCGTGGAGCAGGAAAATGAAGGAGCACAGCGCAGGGTCTTGGCTTCCTGGAAATATGACCTCCATTCAAGAAGTGTGTCACCTCAAGTTACTGGAGGCCTCTTTTAACAACACGCAAAGAACGCAGTAAATGTAGTCCCTTGCCACATTTAGACAGAGCCATGCCCACAGCACCCGACTGTACTAGCTCATCGCCTCGTTCTTGTTACTTTGTTATCAAGTATTTACATTTCCCATTTTGCCTCGGCTCTAGCTAGCCACTCGTGTTTCCTCTGTGAAAGCTTTACCCTTGTCCCACTCAACCTGTGACAGCCTTGTCTGACCCCAGGGATCAAGAAGAGTCATAGCGGTCATACACGGAGCGCTAATTAGAAGGCAGGCACCATGCTCGGCACTCATCGAGACCTCCCAGTGATCCTGGGAGGGAAGTATTATTTTTATCTCCACTTTACAGATGAGGAAAACTGGTTTTCAAGAGGTTAAGTACCTCACTAGACAAAGTCAGGATTCGAACTCGGGTCTGTCTGACCCGCCCAGCCATAGCTCTTGTGTGCCTTCTATCTTCCAGAAGACAGGAATTAAAGCTCACCCAGGATCAAAAGCCAGTTACTAAAAGCCTATATTTACAAGTCACTGAGCCCCTCAGCCTTCGCCTCTTTGGATGGAATACTGCAAGTTCCTTCACTGTGTCTGACCAGCTCCCGTGCTCCGGGGACTGTCCTCCGAAGGCAGGTTCTCCCTTGACCATGGGGCCCAATGCATACAGTGTGATATGTGAGCCCAGACTAGTCAGCACCTCTGCAAAGTCCCGGGTTCTTCCCCCTAGCCCTAGAGACCTTCCCTCTTTGGATTTGCAATGGGGTTTTTTCCCCCTTTCTTCTTCTCTTAGAGGCCCTACCAAATAACCCTATGGAACTCTATGCCACTCGTGCCTGCCAATTCTCCAGCTTAACCAAAGCCACCATCAAGTGCAGATGTTATAAGCACGCTTTTGATTCCCTTCTCCACACTAGTGTCCATAAACACTGTTGGGCCCAGCAGCAGGCCTTGAGAAAAATTATTAGGTACTTCATTAGGAATAAAGTCCATCAGGAACCTGTATGATAGAGCTGCTAGACACAGATACAACCTTGGGCTACATTAAAAGAGGCACATTATCTAGAATGAAGGTAAAGGTGGCTCTTTCCTACTCTGCTGGTCACATACAAATAAACTGCCATGTTCAAGTTCGGGGCTGTAAGGCAGGCACTGACCCAGGCTTGGGTTCAAAGGGTACGGCCCAGGTGGAGGATGAAAGTTAACCCTCCAGTAAGTGACAAGTAGCAGACACAACGAGAAGTGTTTGTGACAGAAGCGAGAAGATGTGGGGAATATGCAGGTCTTAAAATATTGGAAAGACCATCCTACGGAAGGAGAGTAACAATTGTTTATAACAACAACTACCACAATGGCTTGTATTCTTTCAACACTGACTCTGCATAAACAGGTCCCATGCATGCATTATTTGTCCTACATAGCAGCCCCAGGGAGTGAGTGCTAGGACGTGACCCATTTTGCAGATGAGTAAACTGAGCCGTGGACGGGTAAATAGCCCAAAGTCACCCAGCTAACCCATCTCAAAGCTGAAATACATACCCAGGCACCATAAATCATGGGCCTGCATTCTCACACTATTCAACATCCATACTTTCCTATGGCCAAGAAGTAGGATGAGGGCTAAGGAGAGTCAGAGACGGATTTTAGTACAATACTCTTTTTTTTTTTTTAAAGATTTTATTTATTTATTTGACAGACAGAGATCACAAGTAGGCAGAGAGGCAGGCAGAGAGAGAGGAGGAGGCAGGCTCCCTGCTGAGCAGAGAGCCCGATGTGGGGCTCGATCCCAGGACCCTGAGATCATGACCTGGGCCGAAGGCAGAGGCTTTAACCCACTGAGCCACCCAGGCGCCCCTTAGTACAATACTCTTAAGCGAGGACCTTACTGCAATCAGAATTGGCTAAATATGAAATTAAATGCCCCAGTATGTGATAAATGCTTTGTCACAGGAGATTATCAGGTAGAGACCAAAATGTTCAAAACAACTATTGGATATGATGATCGGGTTATGTAAGCATCAGACAGAGGGCTTGACTCAATTATCTTTAAGGTTTTTTTCCAACCCTGAGAAGCCAGGACTCCATGACTAACCCCTGAGGAACAGCATTCCCATATCTCACACCCGTATCTATGAGCTAGCCCTTTGGGGCCCTTCGGCTCCCCATCTAATCACCAATGAGTTCAGTGTGTGCAACCTATTTTTGGTTATTCATTCCCCACTCTGGGTATGAATCGGTCTAGAGTGTGAGTAACTTGTAACACTCTCACACCCAGCAACGCCTAGAGTGGTCTCTTAAAGTTTCTTCCCCAGGTCCAGCTGGATGTTGGTAGAATCTTTATCAGATACTATTTTTAGAAAAAGAGCACACATTTGCATACACGTGCAGACCAACAATTTACATACTTATGCTAAGGGATAGTTTTGTAATTCCTGATCCTCCACCCTGTCTAATTAGCTCCACGGGCATTATGGTAGTTGGATGCCAGGAGCACAACCAGGTCTCTCTGCCCCTGGGCCTTTGCACATGCTGTTCTCTTCATCTGGAAGACTCTCCACTCTCCATCCCCTTTATCTGGCAGACTCCAACTCAACAGCTCAGGCATCAACTCCTTTTAGGAGCCTCTCTGGCAGTCTCTCTTCCCTACTGGACACATGAGGTGTCCTGTCTGAGCATTCCCCCAGCAATCAGGGTGTAGTTGTATTGGGAAGTAGCACACCGCATTATAATTGCCTGTTTACTTGCCTCCAGCCTTCACCAGAAGACTTCCATGCTGGGTCCGTAGCATCTGGAAAAGTACCCGATATACTGTCCCTATCTGACCTACGTCTAGCAAGCGAATGGGTGAAGACTTGAATGAAGGCATTTGGTCCAAATACAGATGCACTTTATAGATCAAATTTACCTTGGAATCAGTGTGCCTTTTGGTAATGAGCAATCCTCTTTTTAAAGCAGAGAGACAGCAGCAAACAAAGCCCAGAATGGAAAAATCTTCACTGGGTCTCAGGGGGAGGGCCACAGGAAGACAAAGGGCTCAAACACAGGATTGGTTCCAAGGAGAGCCCCATGTGAGGATGAATGGGAGCCAAAAGCAAACCAGGCCTCCTTCATCATCTTGTCTCAGACTGCCAAAGATCAAACGTGGCAAGTCACGATTCCTATGCCATTATGTACAAAGCATGCGCCTGGCGCAGGTTACTTGTAGTCATGGGATGTATCCGATTCTTAAGCTTAGTGACAGAAAAGTCAACCACAGCCCCGAGAGTCATCAACCACCAGGATGATTTGCCCAGTGGGGCACGGTCTACATTCCTGCAGGTTTTGAGGTTCTCCTGTTATTCTATCCTGGTTGTAAATCTTCTTGCTTGATACTCTTGAACATTTTTAAATTAAAAATCTTTTTAAAGTTTTAAAGATCCCTGCTTTTATGATATGTCCTACTCTTATATTTTTCTCCTGAGTACATGTTTATTCACTTACAGAGCACGGACTCCAAGGCGGAGACTGACACCGTTTTACTCCTAGTCTTTGCTGATAAAATTTCCACTTCCTTGTCAGGTCTTTGTTTTTGTCCTTTTCTGCATTGTCTTTTTTTTTTTTTTTTAAACTCCAAAACCTTTAGGAAGCTATTTCTTTGTATTCCTTATAATTTTCCTGAATTCTCTTCTGTACATTCCCAGTAAAGTTTTATGACCCATCTCTCATCAGTCTTATGGGTCAGGGGAAATGTACACAAGTTCCTACATATTTACGAGCAAAAATATTTTGATTACCTGCTTGTGTTCCTTTAAAATACCCATTTTAATAAATACACATGTGAGGGAAAAAAACACAAAAGAAAGAAAAAAACATCAACAATTGTTTCTCATTATAGATCATTTTTAACCAGAGTTCTCCAGCTCTATTTTAGTTAAGAAAATCAGGTAGGGCTCCTGTTCAATATTACTTCCATGTATGAGAAGAAATGATACTCTCAAGGTAAAGTACTTAGTCAACTACTAAACACAGTTTGATATATCCAGACCAAAGAAAGTCATGCAGCTATGCAAAGTGTAGCCTTGCTCCAAACTGAGCTGGACCTAAACACAACTGGCTTCTAACAAAACAAAAAACAATTTACCACCTAGCTGACCTAAATTACTGTGTTGTTTTCAACTGAATGAATGTACTACATTAAAAAAAAAAAATTAAGTACTTTGTCCAGATTCTAATTATTCAACACTGACCCTCTCCCTACATTAGCCATTTTACCCATAGATGCACCAAAAGAAAAGGAGTCACTTCCATCAATAAGCACATTTTGCAAGTTACTACCTCCTCCTTTGCAAAAAGTCCTTTTTGAAAGATTAGACGACCTCTAACCAACACCTATGTTGACCTCTGACACATTAAGACTGTCAGAATCCCAGGCACACCCAAACACATCATCTGATCAACTATTGTGACAACACGTTGTCACAATATTTTGGATTATTTGCATACTTGGTATGACTAAGGAAGTATCTCGTTTGTCATTCATACTTTGCCAATTAAAGAGAGTGAATCTGTGCATAGCTATTTACTGCCTGCAAACTAGATTTCTGCAAGAACTGAAGTTAGGGGACACCTGAGTGGCTCAGTGAGTTAAGCCTCTGCCTTAGGCTCAGGCCATGAAATCAGGGTCCTGGGATGGAGCCTCCTTATGCGCTGGGCTCTCTGCTCAGTGAGGAGCCTGCTCCCTGCTCGCCCCACCCCTGCCTGCCTCTCTGCCTACTTGTGATCTCTGTCTGTCAAATCAATAAATAAACTCTTAAATAAAAGAAATTTAAGAACTGAAGTTAGCCAGTATTAATACTGTGACATTCCAAGACAGGACAAGAAAGGAACAAAAAAATCCAGCTTTCAAAAATATTGATTAAAGATAAAGTATGACTCCCCTCTCAGAGGAAGGATCCTCATTAAGTCTTCTTCTGCCTACCCTGTGAATAAACCTCGTAATGAACTGTTAAGTTAAAAGACGTTCTTCGTAATTACCTATTTGTACACTGTCACTGACGTATGGAAAAGACTCTTTACGTGGAACTTGGAATGAAGACTTTTTTTGCATCTTTAACACAGAGGTGATTCTTACAGATACTGTGTTTTCAAAAGTCGTACCTGGTAGCCCGTCTAAGCCAAGTTTAATTGCCCCCTCTGCATTACAGGAAGCTGCAGGAGTAAAGCACTCAGCTGATCAGGGAAAAAGAACATACCATGTTTAATAAAATCCCCGATTCCTGCGGTCGGTGTCCATAAAAACGCTTTGCGGTGTTGGATATGTGGTTTGCGAAGGCCAGCAAGTCCTCCACCGTTCCGTATCTGACCGATGACAACAAAGGCACCTCCTGGCCACTGAGCAGCAGAGACTCTGAACGCTCCTCATTTTCATTACTGTCTTGACACATGGTCATGAGACTGGGCTCGTAAACCGCTGGCTCCTCGCTGGTGTAGAGATTCTCCATGATGTCTATCACATCGGACACGTTCAAGTGCTTAATTAATAAATCGATCTCGTCTTTGTTGTCACTGCCAGTGCTCATGTACTCCATCACTGTTATGCTTTCTAGAGAATCTGCAGAAGAAAAGACAAACACTTAAAAGTTACCCTGTTTGTATCTGCCTGTAAGATCAGTGGGAAACTGACAACAATGGCTTGGGAACGGGCTTCCGTACACCTCTGTTTATAAAATAAGGGCTCTGTGTCAACAGTGTGTGTAAATTCAAGTTGACAGATGGTGAAGAAAGGGGCCTTAGATAACCGTTAGTTAGTCCCGTCCTCCCCTTTGCAGAAGGGAAACCTGAGACCCAGGGAGCTGACTCCTTACTCACTCACTGAGCTGGTGGCTTTGGCTGTAGCCACTGAAAACAAACTTTCACTAACATAAACACAAATAAGAGCCGCTCAGAAAGCTGAAGAGCTGAGGCTCCTGCCCCTTGACAGCTCCCAACCCTACTGCTCCCCCCAAGGGGGCAACCCTCCCCCCACAGAGGTTTGTCTGTGGCTTCCATGCCCTGGGTGACTTTACAGAAAAAAGAACCTTTTACTGGGGCGCCCAGGGGCAGGGGCGGGGACCTGCTCATTCAGTTTAGTGGCTGCCTTCAGCTCAGGACATGATCCCTGGGTCCCCACATTGGGGCTCCCTGCTCAGTGGGGAGTTTGCTTCTCCCTCTCCCTCTGCTGCTCCCCACCACTCAGGCTCTCTCTCAAATAAACAGACAAAATCTTTAAAAAACAACAACAACAACAAAAAAAAAACCCACTTTTTTAAAAAATAAAAAAAAGAACTCTTTTATCAAATTCAGGAGCTAACTTGCAAATCAAATTCAGGCCCTAGAGCCAAAAGCCTGTAAAATGCATTGGAATCTAAAGGAAGATGACAGGTCAAGTTTTAGGAATAATTCTGATGCAAATAAGTTAAATTGCTCGTTTAGATGGGGGACCCCAAGCCTCAAATCTTCCTGCCAGCTATCTGTGAGAAAGGGGAAGGTTCTTTTAGCCTGTGAATCAGCTGTCTCCTCCCGAGACCAGAATTCTTTAATAGTACAAAGCATGTACCTCAAAAACCCAAGAAAGTGTATGTAATAGTTAGATCAATCACCTTCTCGAAGTTGTGGTATTACAAAGAGGCCAGGACAGCTGAATCCATCCTAAGCAAGACACAGGAAAGGCCGGCTAAGCTCACTGTATTAGCCCATACTGTGTGTTAGTTCTTGTGTGCAAATCAGGCCCTCCAGCTTGGGATCCGTAAATGAGAAAAAGAAGGTAAACCCGGAGTAATAAAATGATGCTGTTTGTTGCTCAGGATTTTAGAAATATTCCATTCCAGAGGATTAAAGATAAAGGGATTTAAGATATCTAAGAGAATTCAGAGGCAGGAACATCTACGTAAACTACTGAACTCCTCAAAGCCTCTCTGATAGATGCTTCTGGTTCTTCAAAGCACAAACGTTTAACACATTGAATACTCAGTGCCCAAAGCCACAGGCCTGGTGGGGGGTGGGGGGGGACACCTGCTGCTCTCCTGATGCCGCCATGCCAGCTTTGGCCTCTGAGCCCATTTCTTTTCTTTTTTTTTTTTTTTATTTGACAGAGATCACAAGTAGGCAGAGGGGCAGGCAGAGAGAGAGAGGGGGAAGCAGGCTCCCTGCTGGGCAGAGAGCCCTCCCATGACCCGAGCCAAAGGCAGAGGCTTAACCCACTGAGCCACCCAGGCACCCTGCTCTGAGCCCATTTCATCTGAGAAAAGCCGGGGGCAATCTAGTGACACTGTTCACTTACTTGATGACCATTTCCTGGTAGACAAGCTGTGTCTGCAGGAAGCACGCTACCTCGCACACTGCAGTCTGATATTCCTTCTCCACTCAGGCTGCTTGGGCCAGACTCCCAGTCCCCTCCTTCACTGCCTACAGAATCCTGGGTGAGCATTTTACCCACTCTGCACCTCGACTTCCCCTATCTGTGAAATGGAAGAACAGCACCTACCTCATAAGGCGGTTGTGAGGTTTAAAGAAGTTCAGGTGTGTAAGGTGCCTGCTGCAGAGTCAAAACACTCTGGCATCTCTAGTCGCCGGTGTGTGCACAACACACAGAAGTACTGAGTCACACTCCTGGCTTTGCAGATACTGCCTGGGCCTCCTTTCTTATCTGCAAATCAGTTGTGGCTACCTGTCCCCTGGGCTTCTTCAAAGTAAGGTTGTGAAGGCTCTTTCTAGAACAAGAGACAGACAAAAAGGCAAAAACCTCTGAAATGCTTCGCTAGCTATTAACCACAGTCACATCTAGACAGCAAAGAAAGCTCCGCTCACAGATCTCCTGTGTCTTTGAGGGAGACTATGATTTGGGCTCCTGGAGTCTTCAGTTAGGAAAGGAATTGCTTAGGTTCAAGGAGGAACATTCTACTCTGCTTTCATTGGGCCATTCAGTTGCAGTTTCTGCTTGTAGAATTTGCTGAGAAAAGGAAGTTAAAACCAGCCAGATGGAGGACTCCACTGGCTGAAAAGTTCCAAGGCTCCAGGACTTAGCTAATGGCTGGCTGGAGAGAAAATAAAGTTCCCAGGAGCACCATGACTCAAGAAAGGAAAAAAAAAAAGCCCACACAGTTTACCGGTCAGCTGATCCAGAGAGGAAAGACAGGTTTTGATTTTTAAGTTCTGCAGAAAGTCTGGAGCATTTATATGTGAAGCCTAAGAGGTCTGAATGCACACACCCCTAAGTTTTGTGCCCAGGGAAACAGGGAGGAAGGAAGGAGCAGCGGGGAGAGGGAGAAGGGAGGGGGAGGAGAAGGGAGGGAGGCAGGGGAGGCGGAGGAGTGCAGGACACTGATGCTAGGGATAATTCCTTAGCAACAGCAGGGCTCCTGTCACGCAAATCAGCACACCCCAGCGACCCTGATGACCAGTCCTTCTGGTCATTCTAAATGTCCCTGCAGAAAGCCTCAGCACTTTCAGGCCTTCATTAAGCAGACAATATGCTAGTGATTTCTGAGTTATACAGATCAGTACTCATCTAGAAAACCCGGGCATTGTGAAGGTACTCTACTTGACCGATAAAGACTCTTCCCCCACGTGGTTTACAATAAAAATCCTCATAAAATCCCCACTTGACAGTGGAGTAGACAACTACAACCATCTTAGAAATGGAGAAATGCGCAGATATTGTCAAATGATTTGCTTCGAGTTATTTCAGAAATCAGCAATAAACCAAGAGGAAATCTGTTCCTATTCATTAATGTTACACTTGGGGCTACTTCCAGTTACATATGCAGAAGTGGAGAAACTCCTAGCAACGGTGATCGGGAAAAAAAAACCAAGATTATAGATATAAACCTCTGCCTAACAAAGGATAATTATACTTTTGGTTACTTCCCATTTAATAGATTTTTCTGCCAAAATAGTACGATACCCCTCAGGGCATATCTCTTATATTTTCCACCAAAAGCCCCAGAATTACACATTCTAGCCACACTGCTTCAAAAACCTCTAGACACCTCAACTATCCAATTTCTCTTAAAAAGGCCTTAAGGGCCAGTGGCCACAAGTAGGGCAGACAAACCTCAGTCCATCAGAAAGCTGGGTGGGGGGCGGCTGTTATAGTCCACTCAGCAAATACACGAAACAGAGGCCACAGATACCTAATGCAACTCTACAAGTGTTTCTTCCCCTCTTTTTTTTTTTTTTTTCTTTTAAATTAGGAGCAGTTCTTTATTCCGTGCCAGAATGTCTTTCCAAAAGTGAAATGGCCGGTTCTCTCGAAGACAGCTCGTGGCCTTCCTTGTTAACTTTTGGGGCAATCCCTGTGCCCGCCGTCCTTCTATCTAAGCGTCACTCTCCACCCAGAACTAGAAGAATTTCCGAGTCCCGATATCGCATTACGACCGGGAAACACGCATGAAATAACCTTTCTCCCCCCAACATTCTTCCTTAGACCGAAAGCCCAGCCTTCACGTTCTGGGGGAGCGACCCTTGAGTCACAGGATAGCGTCCCGGTTACATAAGCATGAAATTAAGTTTCGGCTCTTCGAAAGGTTCTCTGCTCCGCCAACAGCCACCCCCCACTCCCCTCCTCGTATTCTTTAAAGCCTGGGGAAGCCGACCAAGGGCCTGTAAATTATAAAAGCCCCCACGATTTGGGCGGGCGGCAGCCGGGTTCCCAGCCTCGGAGGCGCACTCACCGGCGTCGGCGGGGGGAGTGCAGCAGACCCGGCGGTGCGCGCGGCGGGAGGCGCGGTGACAGCGGGGCGCGGTGACAGCGGGGCTCTGTGTCCCCGCGCACTGCCCAGGCGCGCACTGCTCGCGCGTTAGGGATCCGGGAAGGAGGAGGAAAGGGGAGGAGCCGGAGTCTGCACCCCGTGAGACCCTTGCGCAAGGTGCTTTCCAGCTGTGCCGACTGCAGCGACGACCCGCGCGAACCGCGGAAGCGCCACAGCGCGGGCGGCGGACACGCCCCCACCCCCGGAGCCCGGGAGTTCGCCCGGCGGCCGGGGGCGCCTTGCAGGGCTGCGACCACGGAGACACCCAGAAGCCCCCGAACGGACGGTTACCTGGCGGGCGGATCGCTGCAGCCGCGGCCCCCCGACGGCTCGGGGCGCTGCTAGTGGCCCAACCGCCGGAGTCGAGCGAGGTCCGGCGGCAGCGGAAGCTGGAGCCCGCGCGACCGACCCCGGAACGTGGCGCGTCGTCCCGATCCGAGCGCACCAGTGAACGCGGGGCCTCCAGCCCAGGCGGCCCGCCCAGGCCGCCCTCGTCCACCCCTGACTCACGGCGTCTGAGCCGGCCGAGGGGCGGCGCAGCGGACGCCAGCCGCCGCCTCCCCGCCTTTTCCATTTCCCCTTTCGCTCCGTAAACAGAAAGAGGCTGCCGCGTTGCGGGGAAGCCGGAGCCCCGGCTCTGGGAAATTCCGCGCCCCCCCACCCCCCGCCGTGCGTCCTCGGGGCGCCCGAGCGGAGCGGGAGGCGGGACTAGGGAGGGGCGGAGCGCAGCGCGGGGAGGGGCGCCGGCCCAGCGCCGGAGTTGGGACTCGCCACGCCACCTGAGAGGCCAGCGACAGCGGCCGCGGCTCCAGTCCCGGGCATGGGACAGTTGGGGAATTTCCCTCGGACCTGGGGACCCGACAACCTGGTGCTGTAAGGCGCCCCGCGACCGCGCCTCTGCGCCCCTTCCTAGTCCCGGAAAGAAGATGGTGTTTCCTAACGTGCCGGCGCCCTCCGCGCTTCTCCAGTGTCCCAGGCCGCGACGGGGAGGGCGAGCGGCCCTGGCCTTTCCTGCGCCCACCTCCAGCGCCCCGGAGGACCGAGGCTCAGTGGGCTTCCCGCCTTCTCCCAGAACCACGTCCGTGCGCACGCGGCGGGTAGCGCGGCTCGGCCCGAGGGCAGGGAGTGCCAGGATCCGCCGTCGGCGCGCGCGGCCTCCCGCGTGAAGGCTGGGGGGGGAGGTTGCCGCAAGGTGGGCCAGAACCCCGCGGTGTGGCACCTGGAGAGGGACCTGTGTCCCCCGCTAGCAAAACCTGGTTTCGTTCTCCGCAGCCTTTCTTGGAACGGGTTACTCGGCGGCGCCGTCCCATTACGAAATGTACCTGCACGGATCGCCCCCTCCTTACCCCGACTGCCATTGTGGGGTTTTCTGCAGAGCTTGGGAAGATCAAAGGGTGTTCACAGTATTCTTCCCTGTGGAATGGAAATTGTTTCCTCCAGGTGAAGCAGGAAGCGAGTTCTAGGGAAAATAGCGCCTCTGTCTCCGAAATCCACTCTGCTGGGCATTCCCAGTACCTGAGTCGGAACTCACCACCCCCTCGCCCCTCAGTACTTCCCCTAGTAGCAAGCACCTACCATAAGCCAGACATTTTGCAAGACGGCCCGGAGAAAGAATGTGAGGTGGAATTCTCTGGGTCTCGCCGACCCGGGCGTTGGGCGTCCCCAGGCAGAGCCCAGAATCAAAAGCCCCACAACTCTGAGTCCGCGCGCGGTCCTTTCCTGCACCCACTGTCCTCCTACCCTCGCGGTTTCAAAACTTCATCGGACTCGTTCTAGAGCTTTCCACGTTTCTTCTGTGGAAAGTGAGTTGCTGTTTCGATCCAGGAAAGTCCTACGGAAATTGCTGATGGACCTAGGCTAGCTTAGGTGAGAAGCAAGGCCCTCGCCAAAGGACCTTAACTCCCATCCTTTCTTTGTGCTTCCGGTCAGGCAGGGCTGAGGCTGAAAAAGTGACGAGCAGCGGAGCCCATCAGTAAAAGTGCGCGGAACGAGCAGCTAAAATGGCCAGGACTGACGGACGCAGTCGGCACTAAATCGCCACCTCCCAATTATCTTAGCTCCTGGAGTGCTGGTGACACGAATAACGCGGGATGCGTGTCAACCCCTGGAAACTTCCAGGTGGTCTCGGGCGGTGAAGGGGTCCCCAGCGGCCGGAAGAGAAGCCCTTCTAGGCGCCGCGGCTTTTACTAGTTTTGGAGGGAGGGACTGACTTTGCCTCTCGAACTGGGGAGAGGCGACGTGTGCAGAAAACTGAAATCCAAAGGGCGCTAGCTTTTTCTCTGGGAACCAGGTTGTGCCCTTGTTATCTCTAATGGTAACGTGAGAGACGGAGAGACGTCCCTCCCTCATCTGTTGTCTTTGAGCAAGGAGGGATGGTCTTTATAAGCATTTTAAAAATAGAAACATGGAACCACTCCCGCTTCCACCCGGATGAATGAGCTCATTGAAACCACGCCTTATCTTCTGGGAACTAAGTGTTAGCCTTACTTCCCACAAAGAGGTCTCCCAAATACAGCTGCATTTTAGGTGAGATGGCTGCCCCAGCAGGGTGTTCTAGCTGTTCACAGCCTGTGGGAGAGCAGATTTCATTAGGTGGGGCGAATTAAGAGGAAGTTTAACTTAAACCCATTTTTGAAAGTCTAACAAAGATTGAATCTGGTGTCCTGAAGAGGCTGGAGGTGGACGAGTGAACTGGCAAGAAAAAGTCTAAAGACTGCTTGCCTCTTTCTTGGTCAGGACTTTGGTGTAATAGGCTTGCAAAAGGAATCCCGCTTTTTTAGGAGCCTGCTGGGAAAATGAGGTTCCAGCTTGCCAAGGAGAAACCACCTGAGCCAGAGTGTGCACAAGTTACTCAAGAAGCCATTACGATGTACGTTACAAAATAGCTCTTTGCAAGCTGTTCCAAGCCAACAAAATGCACTTTCAAGTTGAATTGCAACCCATTGCAGTTTACTTGAGGTTTTCTCCAC